GAAAAAGCAAGGCACGCAATGGCGCAGGAGAGTTTTATGTTTTGCTGGGGATTTAGCTCAGTGGCACTGCACCTGCCTCATAAGCACAAGGTCTGAGTTTCATCTCCAGTAACATAAAAAAAAAGAAAAAGTAAAAAGAAACAAAAAGTTAAGGATGTTGAGGAAAGTGTCCCCATTACTCTAGTCCCTGAAATATCATCCAACAAACTCACAGGGAAGGTTGGCAACTACTGGTCTGGAATCTTTAAATCTGTCACAGTCACAGAGGAAGAGAAAAAGCTGTCACTTCCCGGGCGGAAGTGGCTCTGAAGGGTGTCCCTGACGGACCGGCAGACCGGGAAATGGACTGCCTACCCCGCAGCAGTGAGTCCAGGCCTTGCCAGTGCCTGACTGGTGGTTACACGGCACCGACGCAGGCTGGTGCCCTGCTCTTAGGAGACCCCTGCTCAAGTTTTCAGAAGCCAACTGTGTGGATGACAACGGTCGAATACCTAGTTCAGGAAGACAGAAAAAGGGGTGGGACGAGAGGGACACAGCCGTTCGCCAAGCTCATCTTACAAGGTCCCTAAATTACAAACCACTCAAAGTGGCAACCAGAGACGGAAACGCATAGAAGGGACTGGTTCTTATAAGGCGGTACCACAACAGATACACTGCTTTTGCATGTGTGTGGTGCTGGGGCTCAAACCAGGGCCCCCACCGCCAGGGGTGCTACGCCGGGGAGGAAGAGGCAGGGCCGGCGCAGTGAGGGAAAGCACCGTCTGGCCACAGCTCCGAGGGGGTGGATTCGGCCGGGGCCGGGGAGGGGCTCGCAGCGGGGCCCTTGGCTGGCGTGAGTGAGGTCCCGGGTCCCAGCCCACCCCAGCCGTGCCACAGGACCCTCCGGTGGCCACTGTCCCTGTCCCTAGCGCCTGCACAGCTCCCCACCGTGCAGGATGCGCCACGGTCCCCTATCGCCAGGTGACCAGCGTGGGGAAGGCCAGGCCTTCTGCGTCGGGGCCTCTCTCCTGCCCGCCTCTTGGGGCCCTTCAGCAGTACCCACCAGCGGCCCCAGGCCTGACAGGCACCTGTTTTCGGGGACCTCCTTCTCACGAGGCCCCGGCCCCATCTCACCCGCCTGACAGTGCTGCCCAGCCGGTACCCGTTCAGGGATGGAGCCCGGGGCTCCCACAGCAGGCCAGCCCTGCACACGGGCTCCCCACTGAGCACCCCTCAGTCTCCCCAGGGGAACAGCGTCCCTTCAGGCACCCTGCACACCCAAAGCCGAGCTACCCAAACTGCTCTGCACATTCCACAGTTCCCCAAGCCCAGCACCCTTGGAGTCATCCCAATTTCTCTCGCTCTCATACATTACACCATTCAGGCTAAGAGTTCCCGGCCCTGCGGCTCCACAGCCAGGTTGCTCATAGTCTCCCCCTGCTGGATCATGAGCTCAGCACAGGGCAGCTCACTGAGGTCCCAGGGAGCCTCTGCCAGGGCCCGGCGCAGGGGCCCAGAAGCATCAGTGGGCTCCCCATCTCCCTCGCCACAGCAGCCAGAGGGATTCTGTACAAACAGGTCAGACCATCCGTCCAACCTCCACTCAAAGCCTGTTCCTGCCCCATTTCTCAGGCAAAGCCAAGTCAAGTCCTCCCATGGCCCCAAAGGCCCTGCACCATCTAACCCCAAGTTCTGAGCCACTCTGCCCTCTCTCCTGGCCTCGATGCTCCCTAAACACAGTCCTACCTCAGGACTTTTGCACAAGCTGAAGACAACCCAGACATCCCCTGGCTGTTCCTTTCAGCCTCTGCTCATGTGCCAGCTTTCCTAGCAAGGCTGTTTACAGGTGCAGGGCCGCCCCTTCCTGGGGCTCCCCACCTTACTTTCTGCTGTTCTGCTATCAATTATCACTGCCTGGTGCACTGCACCCTTGTCAGAGTTCTCAAACTGCAGTCCCTGGGCAAGCAGCTAGAGCTGCAGGCGGAACGTATTGGGAATGCTCATTGGAAGGCACACCTAGGACCAAACTGGGAATTCTGGGGCCAGAGGTGAAACTGTGTTGTAAAAAGAGGTCTGCTGGGCTATCACCCCAGCACTTGGGAGGCCGAAGCAGGACAATCTTGAGTTCCCGTCCCATCCGGGCAACTTGGTGAGACCCTGTGTCTCACAATACAATGAAAAATGGGGCTGGAGATGTAGTTCAGTATGAAGGCCCTGGGTCCAAACCTCAGTAATAAATAATGAGTACAGAACGAGCTCCCAGGATCCCAAACCACGCATGCTCAAGGACCGCTGCTCACTCATCTCCCTCCCCACTGGTCTGCAGCTCCATGGGGCAGGGGTTTGCCTGTGAACTCAAACAGTTCCTGCACCTAGAAGAACCCGCTGGGACAGACGAGGGGTTCGACAGGCACAATGGAGTGATCACAGTGCAGCTCTGTCCACACACCCCGAGGAGACCTGTGCACTCCCACTCTGGCCTTGGGCTTCCTTCCCTGGGCCTCTGGCTGTGCTGCCTGCAGACAGCCTCTGACAGCCTCCGACAGCCTCCGGAGGGCAGGGAGGGCCTGACTCTTCTCTGGCCCCAGCAGAACTCAGGAAGCCTGAGCTGGAGAAATCCCCTCTCTCAGCTGCCCAACCCTGCACTTCCTGAGTCTCAGCTCCAGCTCAGCTCCTCTAGGCTCACGGCCCCTGGGATCCCAGTGCCCCCCCCCAGACGTGCACACCCCAAGCCAGACAACCTCAGCCTGGGAACTCTTCAAAAGCGGGGCTCAGGGTGTCGCCCAGGTCGGGCGACATCACCCAGAGCTGTGCCTGGACCACATGTAAGTTCACATTCCCAGCGAGCACCACCAGCTTTGCAGAGACGGACTGTAGAGCCCAGGGTCTGCTTTGACTTCCAAAGACCAGCACTGCCTGATAGCTTCAAGCACCCCTGGAGTGAGAGCTCTCATCCTTTCCACACCAGACTGAATTATCAAAGCTCCCCAAGGCCAGCAAAGGCCAGCAGTGGGGAAGGAAGCTCTCAAAGGGGTGGAAGAGACCTGGGTGGAGGGAATGCAGGAAAGAGGGAGCAGGCAAAGCAGGAGCAGGACTCTGGGGAGAGCTCAGGCCTCTGCCTTCAGAGCGGCACCCTGAGCCTGCTTCTCCCTCAGCCTTCCCCATCTGGTCTGCTGCTCACCCTAATGAGCCAGGAGCTGCTCAAACTCGTACTTGTACTCCTACTCCTGCTTCTTCAAAAGCCAAGGCAGGCATGCATGTAATCTTAGTACTCAGGAGGCTGAGGCAGGAGGATCACTGTGAGCTCGAGGGCAGCTTGGGCTACACAGTGAGTTCAAACTACATAGGGAGAGCCTGTCTGGAAAAAAAGAAAAAGCCAAAGCAGATCATGTTGCTCTCATGTGCAAATCCTCCCACGGCTCCCCAGTGAACCCCAAATAAAAGCCAAAGCCCATACAGGGTTTACAAGGGCCTCTCATCATGCTCCCTGACTTCATCTGTACTCCAGCCTCTTCAGCTCCAGCTACAAACATATGAAGTTCCTGACTACCTCAGGGCCTTTGCACTGCGGGCCCCTCCGCCCAGACCTCTCATCTCAGATGCTGCTTCCCCGGGAAGAGGCTTCTCATCGTGATCGCGTGTTTTAGCTCTCTTCGTGTAAGGCACAGCACCAGGAAGCGCTGCCTTGCTACTGCAACTCTTTGTCTACCGTGTCTTCCGCGGAGCAGGGACCTCAGACTTGTTCGTGCTGCGGCCCCTGCTCTGAAAACAGCGCCTGGGACCGAGTGCTCCATAAACGTCGAGCGAATACAGGACTACGCATGATCGCGCGAGCGCCACTCGGCCCAGAGTCCCGGCGTAGCGAGCCGGACCCCAGACCAGGCCAAGGAATC